CAACCTTGTGGCTGGGAGTGGGATGGAGCCATGGGCAGCCTGTCCATACAGCACAAGGGGTCGGGGCGTGAAGAGCTGCATTTCTGGCCACGTGCATACAGCATTTATTGATGACATTATTAGCTACACTGGCCAAAAAAAGCTGATAGCTGATAATGTTAATTTTCCTTTTAATCTGCCTCTGATCTTGTTGTCCTTCATTTGAACCTAAAGAGATTGTTATGACCACATAGTTCCTGATTTTGATTTAATCTTGAACTCTTTGCCTGCCTCTAGGGGACGAAGAAGCTGCCCATTGACAGAAATGAGTGGGAAGGGTACTTTGATGAGAGTGGCCATCTTGTGAAATCTAAGGATTTTATTTCATCCAACATCCTGGACAGGGTGAGCAGGGCCCGGTTTGAAATATGGGAGTCAACCTCTCTGCAGAGCCCTCATGGCTATCCCGTAACTGTGTGGCCTAAACCTGAGCCAGGATCTTCAACAGCAACCACAGAGTGCTCTACACAGCTGAGCAGCATGGGTGAAAAGCTGGCTTCAAGCCAACCTTGTCCCCTCACAGTCCTGGGGCCATCCTACTGCCAGGCTGGCTTTCACCAGTGCTAGTGAGAGCAGCCGTAGACAGTCCTTTGCACATCTTTTTCCCCAGCCCACAACCCTTCATGACCTACAAGGAAGGATGGTAAGGTTGGAGCAGCTAAGCTGGCTTTGTGATACCCAAGGACCTCGCCCCATAAGGAAAATCCCCTAGGATCTGAGATGGTCATTGGAGAAACATGAACTTTCTCCAGGATAAGGAGGGATCTTGTCTCTGATGTTATTTGACCGATTCCCAATTTCAGGCCTCGTTTAAGAGGAGACTAACAATCATTTGGGAAGAGCCAAGACATCTGAGGAGCTGATGGCCCCAGCAGGCTACTTGGGCTCAGGAAGTACCTGTTGTGAGGGTGCAATGACAATATGGAGCACAATTTTTGTTTGTGTTTTTTTAGTTTGGTTTCTTTTACGAGAAATAATTTTGTTCACTTTAAGTCCACGGAAGGGCTAACACTGAGCAAATCGTTCTCCCTAAAAAACAATTGTATTTGTATTGTAGCCTTTCTCTGGTTTCCCAGGAGAGAGTAAGTACTCCTGCTTGAATCTCAAACAGTCTTTCTTGGACTGTCGATGCAGTGCATTATCCTAATTTGGCTCCTTCTCCTTTTTTTTTCCCACTTTACAAATTAATCGGGTTTGCCTGGTGAGAGAGAATTGATTTTTATCCCCAAAACAACTATGTTTTTTCCAGCCTGTAAAAACAGCTTTTCATTTTCATAAAAGCATCCATGAGAATGTAGGGAAGAACCCAGGCAACCTGTCACATTTTCAGAGAACTGTGAAAATGTTCTGGTTCCCCGTTGGCTTTGCTGGTAGTGAGAAATCTTAGTACTCAGCTTTTAATGCAAATATTTAGCTCTTGAGTTGACCCCCCTGCAGATAAAACTCATCTCTAATGTAAGTCTTTTGAGGTTGGGTAATATACACAAGGCCCATTGGCAACATTTGCAGCTTTGAAGCGGCGTTCCTCCAAAAATGCTCCTTTGAGCATTTTTTACTCAAAAAACACAATTTCTGGATGGTTAGCTTCTACCTATGTTGTGCTCTGAGAAGGTCTATGGATATATCTAGTTGGAAAGTGTTGATTGCTTTTTTGTGGAATTACCTTTTTTAATAAAAATGGTTGTTTTGAAATCACTCATAGAAATAGTCCAAATTAAAAAAACCAACAAACAGGAACTGAAAATCAATATATTTTTTGCTTTCAAAACCCACATTGGTAAAAAATGTCATTTTTAAGTAAAAACTGTATTAAACTCCAAAGAGTTTAACTGTAATCCCCCACACACTTTTTACCAAAAAATAATTATTTTTACCAAAAGATAATATTTTCATCAAAAACTGAAAGATTTCAACCACAATACATTTTCTGCTAAAAAATCAATTTTAGCCACTTAAGACTTTGAGAAAGACATTGTGACCAACTCGCTTTAGGGCCACATATCAAGACATGGGGACCAGGGACATTTAAAAAGGTGAAAATAGGAATGAGGACCCAAATCAATGGAAACCAACCAATTTCAGTGGAAATAGCTTGCTTAACTGACCTTGATGCTGTTAGAAAATTTCCCTCCTCCCCCCATTTTCCCCAAGCTCACTTTGCTGATCTTTTCAGGGTCTGGACCCATCTGTGAGACCAGAAACATGGAAGTTTCTCACTGGCTACTACCCCTGGAGGAGTTCCTGGGATGAGAGGCTCACGGTGGATGGTATGCGGAGGTATGGCGTTTACCTCTGTAGTGTCCATCTGCATCTGTTCCTAGATGGGCACAGGCCTAAGGAGCTATGGGCCAGGACCCTACTGAATGAAGCACTGTCCAAAACCAGCCCAGAAAGGTTGTTCCTGCCCCAAAGATCTTGCAAACAGCTTTTGTGGGCCAATATGAGGTGGGAATTAATCTCTTAATGTGGAATGGGAAATAAGAGGTGGGGTTGGAATAGTCTGTGAAGAGCATGAAAGTGATGGTGAGTAAAACACAATTAATGCAATAGAAAAAAAAGGCAGCCAGGGATGAGATGAATCACTGAGGTCATGATCGTAGGATCATAGGAAAGTAGGGCTGGCAGGGACCTCGTGAGGTCATCTAGTCCAGTGTTTCTCAACCTGTGGGTCACAACCCAGAAGTGGGTCACAAAAATATATGAAAATGTTGCATCCCTGACTAAAGCATCTCAGCCAAGTAACCCCCCCACCAGTTCCTGAAAACTCCTAGGGATGGAGATTCCACAAGCTCTCTAGGTTGCCTTTTTCAATTCTTCACCACCCTCATAGTCCGAAAGTTCCTGATTTCCAACCTAAATTTCCTCTGCTGCAATTTGAGACCAGTTCTCCTAGCCCTGTCCCCTACAGTCCAAAAAAAAAAAATCTATCTCCATCCTCTTTATAATTTCCCTTCAAGTGATGGTCATGGTGATCCTAATAGCACCTCCAAACCCCAGTCAAAGATTAGGTTCCTGTTGTGCTGAGCTGGGCACTGTTCTGGCAGGAAGCAAAAGAGACAGCCCATGCCCCAGGGAGCCCTGAGTCATCCTATCAGATGAAGTATCACAGGAAGATGAACGAGGCAGGACCAGATGCAAGTGAGGTGTCAGATCTCCTTCCCCAAGCTATCCCAGGCTCTTTCAAACCCATCAGGCCGCACCAGTTCCAACACAGCTCAGCCTCTATCTTGTGTT